AATCAGGTGAGCAGGTCATTGGCTTCAAACACATGTTTCACCAAAGAAAATAATAATAATATAACAGGGCCTTGAAGGCTACCCGAGCCCGAGCCTTTTTTTACAGGGCTTATCAGGGCCAAACCCTCAAGCCCGATTACTTTAAAAAAAAGTTTATTTTCAAAGTCCAAAACCTTATTTAAACAGGGCCTCCAAGTCCGGCCCTTCAGGCTCGGCTCTTATTCCCAATTCTAATAAGAGTTATGGATCCAAACTCATGACTAAAATGAATATAATAGAAGTGGTTTAAAGTATTTAAACCCAACATTAATGATTTTATGTGTAGTTAGTCAGGAGAGGTTCTTAATATTCAAAAATTGCAATAAATGAGATTGTTTGCAAGAGTTTGAACTCATTAATGGTGGTTAGATGACTTATTAATGATAATATGGGTTAAATGAAACCTAGTGAACTCATTGGGTATGAATGGATAGTGAATTATGGATTGATAGAATAGAAAATGTGGAAAATTAATGTTGGTAAACTCACAAAAATGGAATAATGATAATATCCTTGTGTTATGATTGTAGTATGGTCAATTGGCACCATTCCAGCTCATGAGAAGCTTTATAAGTTAGTATTGTGAGGGGTAAACTTTTGACCTATCAAAGGTCTGAGTAATTAGGAAAAACCTAATTTATATAGTTGAATGCTAATTAATTTTGTGAAGTGTGATTGATATTTTTAACTATTGATGTAATGTTTGGCAAAATGATGAACTTGTAAATTGCGATATGATTTGAAAATAGAAACCTTTGGCAGCAAGTCATCTCTTGGTAATTAAATGATTTGGTAAATAGCTAATCATTATGAAGTTTCTAAAATGTGGTACTTTGCATGTGGAGTGAGTTGGTATGTGAGTATAGATATATGAGTCTATGTGATGTGATTGGTTGATTTAAATGCATAATATATGTAAGTTATACATAGCATGCTTATTGGCGGGTTTCACTTAGAGATAGGAATAGATTGATAAACTCTGTTGTATTATCAATAACCGTTGGAATTAGGAACTTGCCTTAGCACCGATCGTTGGAATCAGGAGACAGCCCCTATCCCATGGTTGATTTGAGACTGTTCCACTTGTTCTATTAGGGACTCAAACTTAACTAATCTCTACCTATTTATGAGAACCCTAGACTAGGGGTATGACACCCCATGATTGTTAGTATTGGGGGGAACAATGTATTACAAAGTGAGTAACTTGACCTTGGCCCGATAGCTACTCACAAGTCAAAGGCTAGATTAGCTCATGAAGAACGTAGCCATGTAACACCACTAGTTTCATGTCAAAGGAAAAGGTTATAAGCTGGCATTTAATTATGCATTTAGTTCCAGCCACATAGTTGTTGTTATTATGGTCCGATATGTGTTCTGGATGTATGATTGATATTTTGCGACCCCATGATATGATTCATTATTGAAGTGATTATATGTGTTTTGAGGCCTGGCCACATAGTTGTTAGTATTATGACCGTGGCTACATTTATCACATGTATTTATGCGTGTTATTAGCCAATTGCATCAATTTTTGATTGATATATAACGTATATAAATTAGGTCAAACTTGATTATTGAGTGATTGTACTCACCCCTCAATTCTCAATATTTTTAGAATTCGAGATGGGAAAAACATGCAGAGGCATAGGATTTGTAAAGTAATCCTTTTGCATGTCTTTCCTTGTAGTTTTATGTGTATAAACTGTTGATTTGATTGCCAACTAGGATTCACATGAACATTTTTATACTACTTGCATCATCATTGTCACACTTGTGTATTTTTGCCCTATGATAAATAATAATTTTATATATTTTTATCCTTTTAATTTAGACTTTTAAATATTTATTTGAGGGCTAATGAGTTTAATTAGATATTATTTTAATTTTATTAGCTAATATTCAGTTTTTCGAATTTTAACTATTAAATATTTAATTTTAAAATATAAATGATATCTTTAATATTTTTGCACAGTTACTATTTAATTTATTTTATTTGTGTAGATATTCTAGATCGAATTTGGAAGATATCAATAAAGATTATTTTGGATAAGAAGAATATCGCATACTTGGAGATCAAATCAAGAATTAAATCTTTAAAATTTTGTTTAAATTTATTTTGCGTTATTTAGTGTAATTTTCATTAAGGTTATTTAGAGTAGTTTTATCATTTTATTATTAGCTTTTCTTTTGCCATACGAACATGCACGCAACTGTTTATATATATAAAGAAAGCCGTGCCACACAGGGGAGAAAAATGATGACTTGGATGGAAAAAAAAGGGAAAAACAGGGTTAGCAGTGATCGCAGTTCATCTTTTTCTTCCTTTTTCTTTGATGGCTTGTCAATTCTCTCTTTATACTGTTTTTGTTTTAGTTCCATGGAAAGCTAAGTTTTTGGTGTGATCAATCATAAACTATGATCCTAATTTTAATCAAAGTCTTTGATATTCAAGAAAGATTTTATTCTAGCTTTATTTCAATTTTCTCTTCTTCTCTCTCTACCTCTGAATTTTCTGCTTTAACTGCTATTACTGATTAGAGTAACTTTATTGCATAATTTTTAGGTTATAAATTTTATCTGAGGTTTTACTTACTATAATCGATTGATATAGTAACTTAAGAGTAATTTAGCTTAGCTTGATTGATTACTCATGTTTTGTTTTTAGTGTGGCTAACATAAAATAGTTGTTAGGTTGTGGGTTAAAGGAGATCTCAATTAATCTATAACTTAATTCTTGTTTAATTCTTGAACGATAATTTAAGAAATATATAATAAAATCAGAATAATAAAATTAAATAAAATTAATTTAATTTATGGACGAAAAAGATTAAGTTTAGGTGATTGGGTTGTGATTGATTGCACTACTGCTTGTTCTTGATAATTTTTTCAGTTAAATTTTCTTTATTTATCTAATTTTAATTTATATTTTTTAATTAATTTCATTATAAAAAACCCCCCATTTTTGTAGCTTTTCATAATTATAATTCAAATAGTTAATGATTTACTCTTAGGGAGAAGACCTAAGTTACGCTTTACTGTAAAATTATTTTTTATTAATTTTGATACTATTTGACAGTAGTGTTACTTTATTTAGTGAGTTTTGGTTGTAAACCCTTGAATAGGGCCAAAAATGCTCATACAAATAAGAGCAAGTGTATTTTGATTGAATTGGAATGAAAATGATTGTTTATGCAAAAAATTCCTCCCCTTTATGTTTTATAAATTATGGGATTAAGTTTTGTGAAGCATATGTTTTTGGTTGAGTGTGGTGTATTACGCGAGTCCCCTAAAGTCTATTGAGTGTAGTTGAGTGGTTGATATAGGCTTTTGGCACTTATATGTGAATTTGGACACCATTTGTTGTGAGTTTTTGTGAAAAAAGTGGTAAAAATGGGTTTAGATATCCAACTCTTTATAGAAAATAAATTTGAATATGAAACTTGTGCCTTAGCTAGAGCAAAGATAAAGCTCCGTATAGATACTAAAATTACCTCAATCGGATGTCGGACAGACATTTGAGACTCATTAAAGTTTACTCCAAGTACTGTCATATGATAGTAGCTGTTGCTGTCATATTTTGTGCAATGCGCCAGGGTGCATGGTGTGAACACCGTATTTTGTTCGGACATTTTA